GTTATGGGCTGGACTGTGTTATTCCCAAATTCGTATGTTGAAGTCCTAACCCCCAGTACCTCAGACTGTGACTATATTTGGAGACAGGGCCTTTGAAGATGTGATTAAGTTAAAACGAGTTGATTAGGATGGCCCTGATCTAATCTGACTGGGATCCTGTTAAGAGGAGATCAGGACACAGAGGGAAGACCAGGCGAGGACACAAGAAGACAGCCATCTGCAAGCCTGCTGGTTCCCTCCTCTTAGGGGCTCAGGGGATCTAGGATTCCTTATCCCGAACAAAACAGGTTATGACATTGGATCTGGGACACGGTTTCTAAAATGGCATCTTCAGACATTCTTAAGAGCCCACAAGTTTTCTAAGATCGTCCAAACCGAGAATGTGTATTTTAATAATCAGCCTAATAGAATATCTGATACAGAACTTCTGGGTGGCCAACTTATAAGACAGCACTGTGATGTGACACTAGGGCCACGTTTGCATCTGTGACAACAATCACATGACACTCTGAACGAATGACAGTTTCTCAGTGGCTCAGAACCGGCAGGAGAACGAAGCCATCACATGGTTCACAGTAGTGGTCTTGGTGAGTCAGCTCTAAAACGTCTCACCCTTGAAGAGCGGAGTTCCAATCCAAGCAAGGGCCGTAAGTGAACCCAGCCTCTGTCAAATCTACTTGCCACAGCTGATGAGCAGCTATTATGGTAATCAAGACAAAGTGAAGAAATATCCTTTCCACAATGCCTGGCGCTCACCTTATCTCCAAGTGAACCAGCCAGTTCCATGGTTCTCCAATGACAGCCTTTAAAATCAGCATTTTGGACAGTTTGGGTTAAGTATGAGGCTGGTTGCCCTAATCCAGCGAACAAATTCTAGATGTGTTTAAATGCCATGTTGTACTTACACATGGCATTAGACATTGCCACCATGAGCTTTGTCAAAGTCAAAATTCAAAAGTCTAAAGACAGAACTTAAGACTAATAAAAACACTAACAAAAACAGACAACTAGGGAGCAGACTTTGTGCCACGTGGGGTTCTGTTTTTCACGTGAATGATCTCATTTAAGGAACTATTACTTCCTACCACTGTGGCGGACAGCCTCTAAGATGACCCCTGATCATCCCTGCCTCCCTTACTCACACGCTTGTGTAACTCCTCCCCTTGGGAACCAGAGAGACCCAGACTCCTTCTAATGAACAGAACATGGCAGAAGTGATGAGACATCACTTCCAAGACTGGGTGATAAAAGGATCATCCGTCCTCGAGAAGAGAGCGGCCAAGCCAGGGGGCAGCTCTGTGGAGAGGCCCGTGCAGCTGCAGTCTGAGACCCACAAGCAGCCACAACAGGGAGCTTATAAGTAGTTCCTGTCCCCTTCTGCCCCGGGAGCCTTTAGATGAGACCACAGCCCTGGTGAGGGATGGACAGCAACCCCACGAGACACCTGGAGCCACAAGCACCAAGCGCAGCCACCCCCAGGTGCTCGACCCACAGAAACTGGGAGAGAATCAACATTCATTGTTTTCAGTTGCCTCATTTTGGAGTGATTGGTTATACAGTGATCGACAACGAACACAACCAATGTCACTGCCTGAGTTTTAATAAAACATCAGTCATGTCCAAATGCAGTTGCTACCTTTGTACTTCATAATTATATTATACTTCATAATTTTATTATAAATGTAGTTCTATTTTATCGAGTTGAGTTATAAGCACACACCTACTTTTACTGCAAGTATGAGGCTTATACTTATTTATAAGTCACATTTTGATATGAATAATTTAAGATGGCATTGGGAGCTTACATTTCTTCAAGAAGATGGCATATATTGCTAAATTTTGAGAAACACCAATGATCTGTGTGCGCACATGCATGTGTGTAAAGCCTCAGAACTCCCTCTCATACAATGTCTTCCTGCAACCCAAGTGTGATCTCTTAAAAACGCAAATCTGTGTCCCGTTTACTGCATTCCTCATGTTTGGTGCATCTGTAAATAAATGAATGAATGTCATGCCCCAGCTTAAAAGTTTCAGTGATTCCCTGTTGCTCTGCGGATGACGCCCAAACTCTTCACCAAGCTCGAAGGCTCTGTGTTGTCCCCGTCTGCAGCCTCTTCCTCTCCTCTCCCACGAACCCCTGCCCCTCACTCCCTTCTGCCTAGAACTCTCCATCAACTCTGCCCTTCCCACACCTCCTAGTCTTTGCCATTCTTATGAAACTTAAACATCCCTTCTCATTAAATAGTCAACTAGGATCTGCAGTTTGGGACCCACCTCTGCCACGAGGACAGGGACCCACAAGGGCAGGGAGCCTGTGTACCTTTTCTCCACCCCATCCCTGGCAGGCAGCACTGGCCTAACACACGGTAGGTGCTCTATGAATCTAGACTGAATGAATGGGTGACTACTACACAGGTCTGTTGGAACCCAGTCTTCACCCTGCGGAGCCCCAGGAAGATGAATCAGTTCATCAACTGGGAAAGGCAGCTCAGGATGGAGCTGTGCCAGTCCCAGTGAAGAGATGGGAGCCCTGAGGGTCAAAGATAAATTCCCCAGAATTGGCACTGAGTCATCTGGGAAGCAAGAATTTCTGGTCCAATGTTTTCCTTACCCAAAGCTCAGGTCAGCAAAGAGCTTTTTTCCAGTAATGAAAGGGGGTCTCCCAAACGCTTTTCTTTTCATTATGCTGGAAATGCAGCAAGAATGAGCCAACTTTGGAGTCACAAGATCTGTGCTGATTCAGCGTTGGATGCTCCTGACTCAGGGGTCCTCCCCCATGCCTGTCTCAACTATCTTCCCCCTGCCCAGTCCCTCTGCTTTTTTATTCTCCATCATACCTGAGACCGTTGGATCCTGAATTAAACATCTCTTGTTTTCTGTTGACTGCCAGCTGCCCCCGTGAACTTTGTTTTGTACACAGGTGTATCCGTGTATCCTTACCACCTGGCTTGACCTGAGAGCCTCTCCATCCTCATCTGTCTCATGAGTATAATAATAAACCTCACCTAGGGGCGAAAAGACAGCGAGTTCTCAATAATAATTAGTATTACAACTAGGGTCACCTGGCCAAGTGGCGGGGCAGTTGAGAGGCTGCCTAGGACATCATATACAGTAAGTGCTCATAAAAGAGAGTTCTGACTATTGTGCAAAAGATCACAGTAAGCAAACTTTGCTTCTCTTTCAAACTTTCTTGAGGGGGAAAAAAAAAGAGTTCAAGTTGCAGGATGTAAGTGTGAGAGCCAAGGCTGGGAGCTGAGCTGGCAGGAAGCAGGTTACTTGGCCCGGCTGGCCTCCTCCCTCATCACACTTCCCATTTACTTTTCTTGTAATTTCCTGGGATTGCACACATAGCCTTTAGAGACAGGACATTTTGTCTCTCAGCCAGCCTTTGCTGCTGGCTGCCTGGGTCTCCCATCTCACCACCCCTCCGTACCATCACACACCCTTCATGGGACAGCTGAGAACACCTACCTAGTCTATATCCAGTGGGTGACCCCTGCTCCCTACATACCTACAGACAGGTGAAGGAAGACCTGTCCCACCCTCAAGGGCCCCTCTGAAGAGCTTTGGGGACATGAAACCCACTTTGGTGCAGAGATCAAATTCACCCCGGCATCTCTATTCATCTTACATCATCCCCATATCTGGTGCACCTGGCTCACCTGAATACTTGGCAAACCTGGACATCCTATAAAATCCAATCGTAACCAACTACATCAGAAGTGTTTGAAAAATACCCAGTTTGATGCAAAAATCAAAAGATAGGAAGAAAAAAAAAGCAAAGTAACACAAAACAGGCAACCATGTTGGCAAACTAACTTCATACTCCTTTAACAGAACAAGTTACATGGCATATAACTCTATATCCAATCCATATTTAATAAATACGTCGCTTCAGAAAAATAGATTTGAGAACAGCTAGTTACACAGCCCTGTGGTCTAGCACCCTAACACCAGAATTCTCATGTTAACATCCATTTGTAAAATACTATTTTTTAAGTGCACATTTAAGGTTCATACAACCAACATGTTTTGACTGTTGTCAAGTTTTTCCAGCTGATCTCTTTCATCAAAAAGAAAACTTAACTTTGAGGTTTCCCTTCAGCTGTCTAAAGACCATGAGCACCTCCAGAGCTCATTCCACTTCAGCAATTTTATTTTTGAATAACTGATTACACTTCAAAGAAAAACAAAGTGCAACCCAGAGACGCTTTTGCAGAAATTCAGTGCTCTCTGCTCTTGTATCCTGCAGTGAGTTCTGCTTAGAAGCTAAGGACAAAGTTGGTGGGTCACCGGTCCTCCCTGCTTCACCTCTGGGTTCTCCATGTGGAAGGGCTTTGGGGGACAGCTTTGTCAGTTTGTCCACTGGTTAAAAATTCCCCTGGCCCTAGAATCCTATTGGTTTATCCTAGAGGGTCTTGGAGACTGCAAAGTTAACATACAAATCTGAGTGGCTTTTAAAAAGTGGCTCTGTGGCTCTGCGGTGGTGGGAAGAGAAGCTAGGATGCAGGGCCACTCTTACCTTGATTCCCATCATTACTGCTACTACTACTGCTCAAACATTTGTGTAACAGGTTTCATTTTTGTTTTTTCCATCTCTTTAATAACCACCTGTGCCCCCTTCCCCCGCCGCCGACTCTGAGTCACTTCAAAAACTCCAGATAGCAGCCGGCGTATGGAGACCCAGGAATTTAAATTCTCTGCAGTCAGAGAAGCCTAGGTTAAGTTCTCAGCTGGGTCGTTTGCTAGCTGTGTGCCCAACTCAACCTGTCTCGGCCTCAGTTTCGCATATGCAAAATGGGCTGGGAAGCGAGGGTTAAACGGCGAGCTCCCGGCCCAGAGCAGAAACACGAGCTGGCGTTGCTATGAAGACGCCTTTCTAGAGCCACGGGGAGGCAGGATAGCTGAGGGAGCGCAGTCCGCAGCGCGAGGATAGGGTCTTGGGGTGGGGTAGGGTGGGGGTCAGGTCGCACACCCTGCGCCCAGTCGCTCGGACTCACCAAGCTTTCCAATTCGCCCCTCTCCAGCGGCTCGTACTGGTGGCCTGCGCCCGAGAAGGTGAGTTTCTGCAAGAACTTGGAGAAGCGGCCCTCGACCATGGTGAGCGGGCGGAGGCCCCTCTCTCAGCCTCCCGTCACGCCGGCGGCCGCCCCTGCCCGCGTCCCTCGGTCCCTGCTGCGCCCGGGGCTGGCTGCGTGCAGCCCAAAGCTTCCCGGGCCAGCCCAGGTTACCAGGTAGCCGCCTACCTGCTCGCCGCAGGTGAGGCCCCGCCCCCGGGGCGGGGCTGCGCACCAGGCAGCATTCGGCACACCTGGCCCAGCCCCGCCCCGCCCCGCGAGCTTGCCCGGGACTTTTCCAATCTTGGGGGGCCGCAGCAGCCCAGGAAGCCCCCGCCGCTGCAGCTGCGCATCATAGCTGGGGATGTTTTCCAAACTTGCCAGAACCTAAGAAACAGCTGGAGTGGGGGATGGGGTGGAGGTGGGCGACAAACGCTTGTTTAAAATGCGGTTTTCCAGATCCCTCCCTACCCTGAGTCCCTGGGTCTGGAGCGGCCAGGAAGCTGGACTTCTTACCAAGCGTCGAGGTGATCCTCCCTCGACGGAGTGCGGTCGACTAAGATGCTGAGAGCACGGTGAACAGGAGCTGAGTCCGATTCCTACCGCTGCTGGGAGTGGGAGGCTCCTGACCAGGCACAGGGACTCTCTGAGCCGCGGTTCCCAGTTTATTATTTAAGAAGAAGCTAAGACCTCACCTCCAGATGCGGGACAGTTTGAGGATTCCACTGCCTTTGGGCTCCTCCCGTGTTGCATGATCTCTGAGCTGTTTATTCTCACCTGCACGACGGGAGCCTGCGCTTGCTAATCGTGGGACCTCCAGCAGGTTTCTTGCATTTTCAGAGCCTCGTTTACTGATCTGTGAAACGCCCACCACGAGAGCACCTCCTTCATAGTGAAGTGGGAACATCTGATGGGCCACCTTGGCTAGGAAGAGCTCAGGGTAGGGCTCGACATAGACAGCATCTGTTGGTGCTACATCAGCGTCACCCTCCTCCTCCTCATCACATGGAAGTTGCTGGGCTCAAATGGCTCCCAAGTTCGAGTGAATGTGCAGTGTGGATGGTTCCCAGCCTCCAGATGGATGTATTGAGAAGTGTAAGGGTTTTGGCTTTCTGTAGGAATGGAATTCAGAACAAGACCCACTACTTAAGAGAGAGGTGGCTTTGGAGAAGTCTGTGCTCCTCCTCTGTGCCTCAGTTTTCTCATCTGTCAAGTAGGGTTACTTAAGGACCCCCCAGGACATATGTGTCCATTAAATTGTGCCATCCCTCCCTGGGGGAGCCCAGCTGCTCCCCAAGGGATGGCCACCTGAGCTCCATTCAACCTGATCAGCAGTTCTAGCGGTCCTTCTTGTTCCTCCTGCCTTTTCCCTCTTGCTCCAGACACCATGCTGAGTGGCCCCACCAATTTCAGTGAAGGCCCAGAGATCATGGAAAAAGTAAAACTGGTGTGCGTCCAGATTTGCATCCCAGGCCTGTTCCTTTGAAATGTGTGACCTTGCACAACTTTCCTTACCTCTTTCCACCTCAGTTTACTCATCCACAAAATGGGGATGACGCTCCCTATCTGCATGAGTCAGGGTTCCGACAAAAGACAGATGGCGCCTCAAACTGAGTGCTTTGGGGAAAGTTTGATAAACAGTCTGTTTGTGAGCAGGGGGTGATGTTTTGGTCAAATGCCTTTCCCTTGAATGCCCTGCTTCTGCTCCAGCTCAGAGTTGTCAAGGCTGGAATCTGTGGATCAGAGACGAGAATGCCCAGGGCACTCAGTAAGTAAATTCTGGGTTGGGGATATTGTGCAACACCCAGACCTGTTGGGACGGAAAGAAAAAAGAACACAAAGAAGAAGGAAAAAAGATGGAGTGGATCACAGAGAAAGCAGTTAAAGAAACCAGCTTTGTGACTGGAATGGCTGAACGAGCCCTCTTAGGTTTGAATTTGCTTAATTTTTGTTTTTGTTGCATTGTGATCAGAAAATGCAGTCTACACATGTGTCTACTAACTTTTCTTCATCTATTGAGACTTTGTGCCTGGTTTGTATGCAATTTGTGTAAATATTTCAATCCCACTAAAACAAGGGTATTGGTAAGCTGTACTTTTCTTAGTAAATCAGTTTGATATTTATTCATTCCAACTTTCTGGCTATGTTGTTCATGTCTTTATGTATTTTTGACTACTTGATCTGACACAGGAAGACAAGGAAGTGTTCAGAATTACCCAGTTTAATTGTTTTCCTGTCCATTTTTTCCTTTGGCCTTCAGCCTGCTGAATTCTTGAGTCTGCTCTCAAGAAATCCATTGACCAGTTTGCTGGGAAACTTTCTAAGGCTGGCAGCTCTGAAGGTGACCCAGGTGCTCTGACCAGCCTTAGAGTCAAGGGCACGACTCAGACCAAAGCATCCAGCCTTTCTTGAAACATCTGCTCTGGGCATGTTGAACAATAAGGTCATACTCTTCAACTCCCATTCACTCTCTCTCTATGAAAGTGGTGTCATTTCATGACCCATATATTATCTCCCAACAATACACCCTGTTGGGAAGCCAAGATGCTGTCCCAAGGCACTGGAAATTTATTTGGTAATAAGCCTCACTGGCAAATTATAAGGTTGGGATTTGAAGGCATCCTTTTCAGAAGGGGTACAGAACACAAAGGAGATATATATATCTACATATATGTAAGATATGTAATTTACATATATGTAGATGTATCTCCTTTGAGATATATGTATATTTACATATATTAAAATATATCTCTATAAATACATGTAAACATGTAATTTACATATGTGTAAATATGCTTACACATATGTCTGGTTATATACATATACGCAAATGTATTTACATATATTAAAATATATACTTAGTTTTAGGACTTAGTTTGAAGGGATGGCTCTTTGCATAAACCTCAACTCTGTCTGGCTTTTTTAGTGGCTGGGCATACAAGCAATAATATAATCATTTTATAGATGAAGAAACTAAACTCTAGAGATGTAAAGCCACTTTCATTCATTCCGCAAGTATTTTTAAGCACCTGCTACGTGGCCCTGGAGCTGAGCCCCTGCACAGTCTGTCCCCGCTCCCTTGTACCCTCTCTCCCAGTGGGTGTGATAAGCTGCAGATAAATCACCACATGATGTGTTGTCAGGCAGTGAGCATAGTGGGTTGGGTCACGGTCCCCCTGAAAGCATATGTCTGTGTCCTCATGCCCAGAAACTGTGAACATAACCTTATTTGGGAGAATAATCTTTGAAGACAGAAGTGAGATAAGGATCTCAAGATGAGATTATCCTGGATTAACTGGGTGGGCCCTAAATCCAATGATGGGTGTCCCTGTAAGAGACAGAAAAGAAGAGACACAGATACAGAGGAGAAGGTCAAGGGGAGTTGGGGGCAGAGATGGGAGGGATGCTGCCACAAGCCAAGGCCCACCTGGAGCCGCCTAAAGCTGGAGAGATGAGAAAGGATTCACCCCAGAGCGTTTGGAGGGAGCCTGGCCCTGCCGACGACACCTGGATTTCAGACTTCTGGCCTCTAGACTGTGGGAGAATTAATGTTTCAAGCCACCTGGTTTGTGGTCACTTGTGGCTGCCCCTGGAAATGAGTAGAGTGAGCACAGTGGGGACTGGAGAGGAAGCGGGGCTGGAGCATGTAGGAGAGGTAACACCTGAGCAGTGGCCTGAATGAGGTTCAAAGTGACGCTTGTGGACATCTGGGGGGACAGTATTCCAGGCGGAGGGAAGGGAAAGGGCCGAGGCCCCAGGCAAAACTATGCTCGGCTCGTGTTCCCACAGCGAGACCTGCAGATATGACACGACTCACACCTTTGCACCAGCACTGTGGCCTCACTTGCCCACACGCAGCCTGAGTCCAGGCACTATTCATGTCATGCTCTGTCCCTTCGTCCACAGTCACTGTTTGATAAATGATGGGGAAATACTGGCTGAATACGTCCCACAGCTCTGGGCATTTCTGGATTTCCAAGGGGGCTTAACTCCACCAGGAGAGACAAGGTACAGCCCTACAGAACTTGCCACCAGGTGTCTTGGGACTTGCTAAATCCTGAAAGGTAAACACCCAGCACAAACACCACCACCACTCCCTCCTCCTATGCCTGTGGCAGACATCACCAGTCAATCACCGGGGACATTTCCCCGTTGGCTGGGATGGGCCTGGGAATCCTCCTTATCACTCTTCAAGTAGCTACTGACCACTGTTTCCCCCGGCACGTAAATAAACATCTTTACTGGAAGACTTTCAGAAGAGGAAGGAATGATCTTGGATGGGGGAGGTAACGAACCTTCTAGAAGGTGGTGGTATGGCTGGAGGGCAAGCTCACCATGTATCAGGTCCATCATTTACAGGACGGTTTACTCTTGCTGTTCTATATTCTGTGGGTTTTGACAAATGTATGATGTCACATGTCTACCGTTACTGTACCACACAGAATAGTTTCACTGCCTCAGAATCTCCTGCCCTCCACCTGTTCATCCCTCTCTCACCCCAAACCCCTGGCAACCACTGACCCTTTTACTCTCTCTATAGTTTTGTCTTTTCCAGAACGTCATAGATAAGTTGGAAGTTCAACTCCCTTTCAATGTCTACTTTTGTTTTACTAAACTGCAAAGCATCCAGGCCTGTGGCTCAGAGTCGAGAGAATTCCAATCCAAAAAGGCCCAAGGCCTTCAGATTTAAACTCACCAGTTCATGCTCCCCATAGTTACTCAGAGGTGACCCACTATCTCGGTTTGGCTGGGATGGTCCCCATTTTAGCCCTAAAAGTCCTGCCCCCTGAAAACCCCCTCCCTCCCAGCACACTTACACCTGCTCCTGTCATCCCCTGGCTATTCCTTTTCCCTCGGTTAAAGTCCAGACTCTTAAAAAGCTGCAGCCAGGCCATGAAGCCCTGCCCTCTGACTCTCTCACCATATCCCCTCTCCGGCCACACGAGACCCCTTCCATTCTCAAAGGTGTGCACTCTCTCCCTCTAGCCTCTGCCCCAGCCACCCCCTCTGCCTGGAACACTCCCCAGTACCCCCTCACCCCAAACTCTTGTCCTGCTAACTCCGGCTCACCCTTCAGGTTTTAACTGAACTGCACTTCTCCTTGTCTCTGGACCAAGCGAGAGGTCCTGCAGGGGATCCCCACCATTCCCATGATTTCCACAAAGTTACGCTATTTCATTACTTTGACAAGTTTAAAAGAAGGCACGGAGTGCAAACAACCCAAATGTCACAGCAGTGAATGGTTGAACAGATGTGGTCCATGCCTGCCATGTGTGTGATTTGACCATAAAAGGGATGGGACTCCAATCACGCTAAAAAGTGGCTGAACCTTGCAAGCTTCATGCTGCGAGAAGGAAGTCGGACCCAAAAGGGCCCTTAGTGTAGGAGTCCTCCATATGAAATGTCTGGAGCAGGCCAATCAATCCACAGGGAGGGAGATGAGTGACTGTGGGGGGCTGGGTAGAGAGGGAAGTTCGGAAAGTTATGGAGTTTGTTTCGGAGTGATGATGACGTTCTAGAGTTAGACAGAGGGGATGGTTGCAGGACGTCATGAATATACTAAAACCCACTGAACTGCAGGCTTTAAAATGGTCAAAATGGTGGATTTTATGTGATGTGCATTTTATCTCAATGAAGGTGTATATTTTAAAAGGAGGCTCTGAATTCTTATTTGTTGAATGGAAAAATGGAAAAGGAATGTGTTTATATGTAGTTAAACTGGGAAGCCAGATGGGGAGTTACATGTACAATTTCTATTGGCTTTCTGATATAATAAAGCATTCAAAGTTCTCAGTGACTCCCTTTGAAAGTTTGGAGAGCCTGAGGGTTCCCCAGTTAGGTGGTGCCCAATGGGTGGGGCTAGTGCTCAGAGAAGCAGCTGTTAGAATGGCCCTCCTGTCAACCCCGCTCCTCCCTGCACCCCCCGCACCCCAGCCTCCTGGCTGTTGGTCAAACAAGCTGAGCTCAGTCCAGCCTCCTGCCTTTGAACGTCACAGGGCCCTCACCAGACGTGTTCTCCCCTCAGTGAGTCACAAGGCCCAGCCCTCCTCCCTTCAGGCCTGGGCTTAAGTGTCCGGATGTTGCCTTTGTAACAGCCCACTGAGCAGAATTCACATTTTGTGTATCTTTCTGTAGGTAAATGTTGCTTCCATAAAAACTTCTGATAACGTTTAAAAAAGAAAGCAGATAGAAGGTTAATGAGAAACAGGGTACTTACCCCATTGCGAGGGTGTCTCCATGAGAAAGTTATGAATTACAAAGCAGAACAGTCACGTGATGGTGCAGAAACCCGCAGACCTCACCTGGACCAAGGGAGCAGGGCGCCAGGACCACCGATGGGACAAAGGACATTGTGTGTCCTGCCCCCTGTGCACTGAGGGAACAGAGCCTCACTTTAGGGTATCTCCGGCAAAGTGCTGAACCCAAGCACCACCAGGAGGAAACAGCACTCCCACTAGGAGTGGCAGCCCAGCAAACAGCTGGCTTGTGCTCTTCAGAAGTGTCAGGAAAGGCAATGGACAGCCATGGAATGTTCCAGATGAGAAGAGACTACTGAAGAGTCATAATGATCAAATGCAACTTGTGATCCTGGATCAGCTCCTGGATCTGGGGGAAATGTCTTTACTGTTTGCTAGAAAGGACATCAGTGGGACAACTGGTGAATCTGAGATAACAGCCTTGTCTAGACGTGAACTTCCGATTTCCGGCACTACCTTCGTTACGTAAGAGAATGTCCCTTTTGGACGTGCACCCTGAAGTTTTTCGGGGTAAAGAAAGTTGCAGGGAGCAGGCACACAGACGTGGATAATCTGTGAAGAATATATGCAAACCTGAAAAGGTCCCATATTGTATGACTCCACTTTCAGAACATTCTTGACATGACAAAATTAGAGCGATGGAGAGCAAATTCAAGGTTGGCAGGAGTTAGAGATGGTGGGACTATATGATGACAGAGCAATTCTGTCTCCTGATAGAGCTGGTCCTTACATGGGTCTGTACCTGAGACCCCATACATGGAAACAACACATCCACACTGTAGCGGCCCGGCTTCCATCCAGCATGGCAGTTATGTAACGTGTGACACTGGAGGATCTCAGTGAAGGGTATGCAGGGTCTCTCTGTGTCACCTGTGCAGCTTCCTGTCAAGCTGTAATGATTTCAGAATAAGATGTTAAAAATATAAGAGATGTGTCCCCTCACCTCTGTCACCCTGCCCTCCCCTATCCTGATTTATTTTCCTCCATAGCTTTTATTCACTGACTTCATCGATGTGTTCACGTTCACCATCAGGCCCCCCCTCTCCCCACCAGACTGTCAGTGGGTCGAGCAGGGAATTTGTTCCTATGACTCTTGCCTTATTCCCAATCCCCGGAGGAGTGCCTGGTGCATAGTAGGTGCTCAACATTGTGACGAAGTGATAAACAAATAAGAGAGGTGTAGCCAGAGGCAACCGAGGGCTTTGGCCACAGTGAAACTGAAGAGGCAAGACCCAGGGACAATGACATCGTGGAGCACGGCCTACCACCTGGGAAGGCGGGTGCTCCCAGGGTTGCTGGACTAGATACTCCAGTTGCACCTACATGATCAGTGTCCCCCAGGGTTTGGGTTTCACTGCCGTCTGTAGCAGCCAGCCTGGGCACAAAGAGACTTCTGATAGTAAGCTTGTGGGGTGAAGGGGCGGCCGCAGTGAACCTGGTTTAACCAGTAGGTAGGTGAGCTGGTTCGTTCATTCCACAAATACCTAAGAGCCTGCGGAGGAGACAGGCTGCTTGGATCAGGTGACAACACCGCCAGCAGATAGCACCGCTCACACGGGAACCCAACCTGGGAGACACAGAGTAGTTGAGTAACTTGACCTAAGTCACACAGCCAAGAGAAGAGGGTAAGCCAGAAGTCATGTCCCTGGAGTCAATGCCGGCACCTGCAAGCCTGATCATTGTGCTACATTCAGGGAGCCCCTTCTAAGAAGCTCTCGGCCTACTTGGGAAGGCAGATGCAACCTCACCCATTTGCTCACTCACTGATTCAACAATCCTGTGTTTAGAGCCTACCATGCACCTGCACAGAGCTGGATATTGGGAGAGAGATGAGCTGGACATGGTCCCTACCCTCCAAGAGCTCTGGCTGGAGAAGGAGCAAACCACATGGCATGTGTTGCAATGTCATCTCGGGCAGGACCCAGTGGGAGCACGAGGGGGCACATGTGAGTCTTCCCTGGGCGGCTTGGGGAAGACTCCCAAAGAGGTGATGGAGAACCAGGACTGTAGGATACAGAGGAGCCCAGCGCATGGGAGGAGGGTGGAGATGGACAGTCTAGAAGAGGAGCACTTGCACGGGAGGAGGGTGGAGATGGACAGTCTAGAAGAGGAGCACTTGCACAACATCCAGGCGGGGACGGGAGGGGAAAGATTTCAATGCACAGAATGCTTGGCACAGAGACTTGGGGGAAGCAATCCACTCTGCCAATTTCTACTCTACCACCAGTTTCCAGGACCCCTGGAGAAACGGACCTGTTTTCTGAACCTCGTTTCTTACAAGTTAGAACAGGAGAAGACTGCCCACCTACTCCGGGGCTGTTCAGGGCTAACCCATTCTCAAGACCCTTAACTCAATCACATCCGCAAAGTCCCTTTTGCCACGTCACATCACACATACATCTCCAGGTTCTGGGGACTGGGATGGACACCTCTGAGGCCGTTACTCTGCCCACCGCCTCATCCATCTCCCCGCCCCACCAACCCCTTACATTTTATCTCTTGAAAGACTCAGGCTGTCTGACCTCTAGCATTCCCCTCAGTCTGGATTTTGCTGATTGCACACTCCAGTGCAGTGCTGCGGGTCCCTCCGTCCTGGGAATTTCCTGAGAACTGGCAGTGGGATCTGGAGGCTGGATCAGGCTCCAGCTTCATCTCCTTGATCCTCTGTTCTTCCATCAGGAGGCTCCTCATGGCTTGTGGTCTTTTTGTGACGTTAGTACTGTTGATGCTCATGTCCAGATCCCTGCAGTCTGGGGATGTGATATTCTAATCCTGTCTTTGCCTTTTCATGTATTTGTTGGGACATTTTATCAAGAGATGCTCCCCCCTCCACCCATGATTTGTTACCAAGGGGACCAGGAAAGGCAGAGTCACTCCTGGATACCTTCCCTTTCCGGGTTTTCAAGATAACAAACTGGTTCCCATCAGCCTCTGAAGGGTACCCACTCATTTTCTTTTTCTTTTTAATTGAAGTATAGTTGATTTACAATGTTGTGTTAGTTTCTGTGCCCACTAGATTTTAAAAACACTTTTGTGAACTCATGAATTTAAACCTAGATGGGTTTCAATCCATTGCAATTTTATCCTTACTGAGGCTCCGACGGTCATGTCTTCGGCCCCAGGGAGACTTTTCAAGCTGGCTTTTGGGTTCTTGTGGCATAATCCAAAGAGTCTCTTTTTGATAGTCCTCTTGCCATCTGGGAAAACAAAATATTCCAGCCTTCTTTTGTACATTTTCAGCCTTAGAATCAGCTATTTCTCCAAGAAACCCTGCTTTTTAATTTTCAAAAAATGGGAAATGGCATTTCGAGACCAGAACCTGTGTGTTAGGCTACAGAAGTGACCGCTTTTTCTAGAATTTTTAAGGGGGCAGGACTCGTTAATATAAGCATATTTTTCAAGTGAAATACCTTGGGAGTTCACACCAGGAGCCTCTCCAATGTCTACAGGTGGATCGGGGGTCTCACTTCCTAACTTGCTGTCCTGATCACACTGTATGATTGGCAGCTTCATTCTCTCAAAGGTTAATCCTGTGACTCTCCTCTCACATGCCTGCAGGCAAAAGAAACAAGATTTCTATCAATCTGTTAGATTTTTTTAACATCTAAAATGTTAGATTTTTTTCATTTAAATTAAGAGTTTGAGAGGTTGTGTCCTATTTAAGCTAACAACACTTAACTCGTGATTCAGAGCCTTGGGGACAACCAAACCCGGGGCAACTGTCACACAGTGTTAGCTCAGAATCCAGCCCCAACCTCCTGCTACCCCTAGCCTTTCTGGTGTCCGGGGTCCCCCATACTCTTTGACTGTTCCTGCCTCCTGTCTCCCCACTGGGCCCCAAGGGAGAGGAACCTTCGTCAGGCTCCCAGGGGCATCGCAGCTCTTGCAGCTGGGAGGCCCCTCTCCTATCTTCTCCCTGGGACTTTGGGGAGCCCATCACCCTGGGCAACCATGAGCTCCTCCCTTACTATCTCTTGCCACATCAGTGCCTGCAGCCTCCCTGCCCCAGGGGAACTCCCTGCTCTTCCCAGCAGTCCCAAAATCTCCTTCCCACTCTCTCCTGGGAGGCCCCTCCTCCCAGCCCTGCCTGTGAGAGTCAGGTTCCTGGTAACATGTTTCAAGCTCACACCCAAGCATCCAATGATGGCATGCAGATGAAGCCACCTACCTCAGTCCTGCCACCCATTTGGTAAGAACAGCAAGTCCTTCCAAAACACCTGCTATGCACCAGGAACCGCTCTAAGCACTTAGTAGTTTCACTGCACAGCTGGCCCAGGAGGCTGGCGCTGTCATCGTGTATCTTATGGAATAGGAGACTGGCTCAGGGCCATCTCGGAAGTGGCAGGAGGAGCCAGGACTCACCGACTGACCACTGGGCTCCTCAGTCAGCTGGAAGACAATACCGCTTAAGGCCAACCGCCCAGCATCCTTTGGTGAAGGGACAGAACATGTATTAATAATAAATCAACTGAATGCAAGAAGGGAATCCTGTGCCGCTGTCTTCCTCGAGAGCGGCAGTTCTGGAGCCTGAGCCGACCTCAGAGTCACTGGGAGGGTGTGGTACATCACAGGCTGCCTGAGACAAACCCAGAGCCCCTCACTCAGTAGGGCTGGGGTGGCCTGAGAATCTGCATCTCTGAGTTCCCCGGTGATGCTGATGCTGGCTGCTGCTGGTCTGAGGATCCCACTTTGGGAACTGCTACTCTAGTAACCTTGC